TCTCTCTCTCTCTCTCTCTCTCTCTCTCTCTCTCTCTCTCTCTCTCTCTCTCTCTCTGTCTCATGTACATAAATTGATAGTTATTACATTGTACGTGTATTAATATTATAATTCATTTATGTTGCTTATATTTTAATGTAATATTATATTTGAATGAAGGCATCGTGAAAGGCAGCAGTAATGGACAAAACGTTTTACATGTATGTGAACAAAGCTAAAGATGAAATATAACATACCGATAATAGTTTTAAAGCTTGTTCGAAGTTCAAAATCCGATAAAGGTGATATTGCTGCTGGATGACGTAATAAAATTTTAGGTGCTATTACGATCAGAGGTTTCCGATAATCCCTTATCATCTATAAATTTATGAAGTGTTTTGAATTATATTTAAATATTTAAATTGCCACTTAGAAATTTATCGCAAATATTTAAATCTTTTCTTTTTATACTGATGAATTCTTTCTCTTACCTGTCTTCTTAATAAATGGAAATATTGTGCTGGTTCACTGGGATTCGCAATATGTATGTTAACATCATCACCATCAACACCGTTTTCCTTACTGTTCGTTAATTGTAAAAATCTTTCAAGCCTGCAACTACTATGTTCCGGCCCAGCACCGTCATATCCATGTGGTAAAAGCATTGTTAAACCGCTACTCAGCATCCACTTTGCTTCTCCATTTGTTATATATGTATCAATAATGATTTGTGCTCCATTGACAAAATCTCCAAATTGAGCTTCCCAAATAGGCAATGTAAACGGTGATGCTATACTTATACCATATTCGAAACCTAGTACAGCTTCTTCAGATAGGATGCTGTTGGCTATCTCTAATTTGCCAGTTTGATTGCCAACCATGGAATTCAGTGGAATAAAAATAGCTAAAAATTTATATCTGTATAATAATAATACTTTTAATAGATGTATACATGATAAAAAATAATAACATTAATTAACATAAATTATATGAATATTTAGTATTCGATTATGTATCAAGATACACCTCCTGTAGATTGATCGACGAGCATTGCGTGCCTCTGCGAAAAAGTACCACGGCCTACATCTTGTCCACTTATTCTTACGTTATATCCTTGATATAATAAAGAACCGATGGCTAACGCTTCAGCTGATGACCAATCCAATGCGTTACCGCTTTTGATCTTTTTTAAACGATTTTGGACATGATTCTTTAATAATTGTGAATGAACAGCCTATATTATAAAATATAATTATTGACGTTAAAACTACAGCTTGTTATCTGGGATATGTAGCAGTTATGATGCAAATTGAATACGTATTCTTACAAAATTTGGTGGCACTTGAACACTTTTTTCTCCGACGAAATGTAGCAAGCCTAATTCAACACCAGTATCCCATCGCGTTATATTAGCTTCAGCTTGCTTCATTTTCGCCCATCTTCCAGCATAAACAAAGGTTGATGGACTCGATGCCTTCGAAGATTCTTTCAGAGTCTTATTCAACCACGTTATATGATTGTCAATGATATTTTCAACATTTTTTCGAGTAAGAATATTGGCGTTTACTAACTTCTCTGCATATCGATCTGGTACAGATCTGTATTAAAAAAGAAATTCATATTATTTTTGCATACTATTACAGACCCTTTATTATATAATTTATTTTTAAAAAATAATGAAGTATTAATTTATTTCTACACAGCACTTTATCCTTGTTTTAAATTAATCCTGATTTCCAAATGCAACGTCCCAAGGACGTCTCAGATAATAATGTCTAAGATGTCCAATAAAAAAAGACATTGTGAGATATCTTATGACAAGCTATTTCAAGGATTATGACAAGCTATTTTTTATACATTGTATCACAGACAGTAAAAAATGGAAAAATAAAATATTTTCAAGATTTAAGATATCTTATGTTCCGATTTTGGATGACTTACGCACGATTTTGTATAATTTTATACATGAGGGGGTTAGTGATTGTAGGATCATCTAGTTCATTGTGACCCCATCTTCTGAAACAATTTAAATCAACAAACACATCCTTTCTGAAATATCTTTGATATTTAAAGGCTATTCTTGCAGCTCGCACAACCATCTACAATATATTTTTAAATTATTATAAGTAAAAATAAGTATTAGTAAATATTAGTATTTTACTTCGAAGATATACCTCAGGATTGTCACCGTTTACATGAATTACAGGTGCAGATATAATTTTCGCTAAATCTGTGCAATATCTTGAGGATCGACTCCTTGAAGGTGGAGATGTAAAACCTAATTGATTATTAATTATTAAATGAATTGTACCACCAATTTCAAAATGTGGCGTTTTGCTTAAAACTAAGCATTCCTGATTAACTCCCTGTCCTGGATAGGCAGCATCTCCATGTATCTGAACATTTTTAATATTAAATAATAATATAAATAGACATTTTGAAATATAAAAGAGAAATAACACAATTCAATAAAAAGAGAACTATTTTTTACATTTTTTTATGTTCAACTTTGATTAATTGTTTCATATTAACTTTGTAATTTTTTTTATTTATTTGACACAAAAATTTAAACTTGTATTAAATATAGCAGGTACTTATCGAATACGAGGGTTTTCGAAAATTCTATTAGATTATTACAAAAAACTGAAAATATGTATTGTTACAGTCGTAAATAAAATATGTTTCTTAACTTTTATTATACAGATTTTCTTTCAATATTTAATTTTTTGTTTAAGCTTTAATTTGTACAAGTATACATATTTTAAAAAATGTTTATAATTATTTAAATGGTATCGCTTTACATTCTTTTATTTAAATTTGTATCTCAAGAAAAATATGTAACAATTAAAAATATACAAGAATATTTTTTTAACTTTTGTCAGTAAGTGATATTACGTTGTAAAGTTGGTGATATTTC